AATGTACAAATGTGCTTGACACAATTGATGTATGTATGGATTGTGATGAGTTGTCTGAGCCCCTAATAAAATGATTTAAAAAAATTTGCTTTCTACTTGAGCCCTTGGTACAGCTCCTCATTTTCTCCTTCCCTCCCTGCCCCCCTTCCTCATGGACCCTTCATAATTCATAACTTATTATTTTGTCATGTCTTACACTGTCCAACGTCTCCCATCACCCACTTTCTGTTGTCCGTCCCCTAGGGAGTAGGCTATATGTAGATCTTTGGGACCAAATCACTTCTGACTGACTCAAGCACCCGGGTCGTTTAGTACAGCTGGTGGCATATTGAATAAGAACATGTTTTAATATGCTATGGGAATGCCACCTCAATTTAAAACAAAATTCCTTCTGGCAAGATGGCAAGCGAGGCAGACATGGCGCACAGATCCTCCACAGCGAAGACCTGAAAGACCGAGACAAGGCTAATGATCCTGGACCCCTGAGCTTCAGAGGACAGGAGAGACAAGTGGATGGAATACTTTCAACAATTGTGAGAGAGGAAACAGGTGAATTGTTGACTAGTCTGACACAGCATGACCGTCTCAAACAGGAGCAGCCTTCCGTGGAGACAGCGGCCTAGCACACTGGTAGTCAGCAATGAGGAAACCCTTGCCCTGCCTGAGGTCAGAATCATGCCCTCCTAGTTCAGACTCCTGGTGTACCACCCCAATGTCTGGACCTAGGTGAACACCACTTCACCAGACCAGACGGAACACTCAGGGTGACTGAGGCCCTGACCACCGCAGTATGGCCAACACCTCCTTTTGTAACTAGCTACCCTGGCCCCAACTGCCTTCCAAAAGTGTTCCTCTTGAGAACAAGTACCCTAACCTCAACAAACTGTGCCTGGGTCAGGTACCCTAACCTCAGACAACATCTGCACCAGCAGGACCAGACTTCTAACCCACAGCCCCCTTCCCAAATCCCATGAGCTTTGGTGACAGAGAGTGCGGCCCCTGCCCATACTGGCTGCCTTTCTCTACCCACATTTTTCTTCTTTCTTCTTGTTGTTGTTCTAATATTCTTCTCTTTCCCTTCCCTCGATTTAGATCCTTTCTTTCTCTACTTTCTCCCTTTGTCTTTTATTCTCTCCCCTTTCCTTCTTTCTTTTCCTCTCCCAATTTTTGTGAATTGTATTTTTCTCCTTTTTTGGGGGGGGTCTTTTCCTCATCCTTGTTTCTGTTATGCTTTCCTGTTTGCTTTTCTTTTTAGGGCTTAAATTAATTTTTTCTTGTTGTTTTCCTGCCCTCCACCCCCTCACCCCCACTTTTTCTTCTTTATGATTTTATTTCTTGCTGTTCTTGCTTTTGTTTGTTTTCTTTCTCTCTCTCTTTGTAACTCTTCCCACCCAACAGGAGACAACAGCCATGCTCACAAGGTCCAGCGACACCTAAACTTCCTACAGCCCCAATACCCTCCTCTGAGCCACCTGCTCTTCAATAGACAGCAACCAACACTAGCCAAACTTGCCCTTGACTTATGCTACACAAGCAGCATATACAAAACTGTGTACACACTCACATTCTCTAGGAACCAAGCCTTGAGTGTCCATACACAAGCAGGCATGCAATTGGCCTTAGCTTCACAGAGCTGTCCTCAGCCAGAGGCTCAGAGCTGTAAGACTGTCCTCACCCAGAGGCAGCCTCAGCGCCTCTGGGTGGGCAAACAGAAATAAAATGTTGTTGTTGTTAGATTCTGTACAATAGTACGAAATACTGCCTGGTCCTGCACCGTTTCACAATTAGTCTTGTATCTGAGCCCATTGTTGCAGCCACAGTTGAGGCCCTCCCTCTTCTTCCCTGACCCTCTACTTCACCGAGCATGATGGCCTTTCCGAGGGCCTGGTGGTTTGGAACTGCTGACCATGCAGACCGCAGCCCAATGCATAGCCGCTATATCACCAGGGCTTCCAGGGCATACTCTAGCCATATGCTAATTCTGTGTTCCGTTTCCGTGTGTGTGTGTGTGTGTGTGTGTGTGTGTGTGTGTGTGTTTTAGTTTTCTAAGCAACCTTCGCCACCAGCTTTCCTCATTTTCCACTCCCAGTACCAATGGATGCGGATTCCCAATGCTTTCCATCCTTTACTGCCTTTTTATTAAAAACACAAACAAAAACAGTGTAGTCATTCTAGTGAAGATGAGGGGGTGCCTTATTGAGGCTTAGGTTTGCCTCTCTCTAGTGGCTTATAGATGAGCAAAAAGGCTGTTTAAAAGAAGGGAAGGAAATCAAAGACTAAAACGGATGTCAAAAGAGACACTGAAAGTTGGTCTTCCTCCCGGAGTCTCTAAGGCCAATGAGAGAAATGATGAAGTAAAAGATCTAGACAGAAATGTTCAAAGGGCAACTCATGAGCCCCATGAAGACTCATGAAGACCCGGGTCTAGAAAACCCAAAGAGGAGGGCACTCGCAGCATTTCTCAAGCTGAAAGAACTGGAGAAAGATTTGAAGCCTTGTGTTGCAACATGGAAAGAGTTTGTGGGGAAAATCTTGAATGTTGCAGGAAGCATCTAAAGAAGATGGGAAGAATGCACAGAATCACTGTACCAAGAAGAATGGATTGCAAAAAAATAGCCCACAACATTTTTCAACCACTTCCATATGATCAAGAACTAATGGTATCGAAGGAAGAACGCTGTACTTGAAGGCATTGGTGAAAAGGCTCTGGGAACTTGGGAAGACCAGTACCCGGTCAATCAACCAGAAAAGATCCACATTCATACCCATTTCGAATAAAGGTAATCCAACTGAATGTGGAAACTGTTGAACCATATTATTAATGTCACACATGAGGGAAGTTGTGCTGCGGCTAATTTAAAAGTAGCTGTATCCATACAGTGGCAGGGGATTGCCGTAAACTCAAACCAGATTCAGAAGAGGACATGGTATTCCTGATGCCAGATGAGACTTGCCATGTTCTCCACATCTTCAACTCTAGCAAGGGTTCTCTTTCTTCTCTTATTTTGAGAGAAAGCACGAATCAGTAGTTCCTGACAGTTTCCCTGGAGCCAATGGTTCTTCCTTCTCTTTCGACTCTTTGACTGCTTTTCACTTGCCACCAGGATCCCACCACCTCAGTGCCCATCTGTCTATATCACACCCTCCAGTACTACCATCTTGAGTACAGGCTTACATCGTTTTTAAAGCAGCTTAATGCTCAAGTCCACTTCCCCGCCCCCCTTCTTTTTACTAGATAAATCATTATTTGGTTCGAAGAAGACTTGAGTAGATATTTTGGGTTTTATGTTTAAGGATTATCTCAGGGCAAAAGTGGCGGGGGTTCATCTATGTTCTTGTGGCTCCAAAAAGCCTGGAGTCCATCATGGACTGCCATCGAGTCAATTCCTACTCCTGGTGACTTCATAGGACAGAGGAGAAGTGCCCCTGTGGGTGTATGATATTGTGACGCTTTATAGGCATAGGAAACCTCATCTTTCTCCCATGGAGTTAGCTGGTGGTTCCAGGCGGTTGACTTTTCAGCTACTAGTCCAACAGGGAACCCACTATGCCACTAGAATTCTAAATGCAGATCTGCATTTCTCCTTTTGATCAGGATGCTTCCATTGATCTTTGATCAAAATGTTCTGTAATGGTCGTTCGGCACTATCCAGTTCACCTGGTTTTCATGGCAAAGGAGGCAGGTGTTCGTGGAGATGATTATTCACACATTGCATCTGCTTCTCTCATTCCTGACTCTCCTTCTCCTTCTGCTGCTCCACATGGACAAAGACCAATTGTGGTGCCTTGGATTGGGTGCATGCAACTTTTTAAGACCCCAGGCACTACTCAATGAGGTAGGAGGTGGAACAGAAGCACTAAACATGTTCTTCGGCCAATTAACTAGGATGTCTGATGAATGCATGACCTTAATCCTCCAAATCAAGGAACCAAGCACCATGAGGTTTTTGGTTGCTCATAAACAACCTTGGCAACTGCTCTTTCTATATATATATTTTTTATACCTCGTATATGTGGATCATACGTACTTTTCCAATGAAGCTTTTTACAGGTGTGCAACTTTCTGACAGCACTTACAATCATCCGATGTGCAATTCCACCTTTAATCAACGTCATAACTTCCCCCTGTCACCCATGGTGACCACAAATCAGCTTTGGTCTCCATAAATTTCCCCTCATCATCCTTTTATATGTGAGATCATACAATTTATGTACTTGTCAAAATTCTTAGTTTTCTAGATATATGAAACATATGACAGAGAGCTCCCTCTCAATTCAGCCTTGTCATTAGTTTCTAAGTAGACAGGCTAATAAGAGAGCCTTTGTTTGAACTGTGTTTCTTAACCCGCTGTGTGTTTATGAGCCAGTCATTTTTGCTCACATGGTTTAGTTTCTACATCTATAAGTTGATTTCTTAAAAATTTCCCCCAACTTTTACAGGTGTCTGAGTCTAGGATGCATGTATGAGCAATGTTTTCCAAATCTGAAAAGTGATCATGTTGAACAGTTTAATTATCTGTGACCAGCCAGCCAGGCTCTCATTAAGTGTTATTCTATGCTTTGTTTTGGTCTTTCAGGCTTGTCTGAACCTCTCTCTGTGAACCCTGATTCACTTGAATTTGCCATCAATTTGACATACCAACGTTTCAGTTTGCTATGGAGTGTCCGTGGCCTTCTTGATCATCAGGAAATACAAATGAATTTTCAGATACAGATCAGTAGGATTAATGAATCCAATGTCATCTGGACTGTAAGTACTTGGGGGCTTATTATTTTCTTTTTATTGATTAATTGATTTGTTGTTAATTTGTCATTTTGGGGGAGCTGTGGTAGTTACATAGTATGGTGTCAATTTGGGACTTGATAGGATTAAGAGTGAAGGGCTGGAGTCGAGTCAATCAATTGGATCATAGCCAATGAGGTCTCTGTGTGGGCATGGCCTTCTCCTGAGAATTCTGGGAA